GGGATATTCAGATGGAGGACGAGGAAAGAAAGAAAATGCCAACAGAAGAAATTTTTGTTTACTCCAATCACAATGAAAGCATGACGATCGTCTTTGTTTTTCTCGTTTTTTGCGAATCGAAATGTATCATTAAAATTAAGCACTCCAGAGTGCTATTTTTCTGTCTCTCAACCGCCGGTACAGTTATGTCGCGTCGCCTTCTTAATTTTTAACCGGTTCTCGTCCCCTCCTCAGTCCCCTCCCCTCCCTCAGGTTAGGGATATGATCAGGTTAGGAATTATCTGAACACATTATTTTATATTTTTTGTTTTGCAATTTTTTTGTAGATAAAAATCGGAAAATTACAGCTTCTAATTACGTTATAGTTATGCCAATAAAATTACATTAATTTGTTATTATTTTATTAAATTGTAAAATTATGATATTTTATTTAAATCCAAGTTTTGATTCATGTAATTTCAAGTAGCGATTAATAAATATACGTAATATAAAATGCATTAAACATATTTGATAAAATATGAAATAAATATATTTTTTTATATTATGAATTAAATGTATATAATTATATATGTTATTTCAGATTCATGGGAAAAGAATTGGGTCTATTCTGAACATCCTGGAAAGGAATTCGGAAAATTCGTTTTAAGCCATGGAAAGTTTTGGAACGATCCAGAAAATGATAAAGGTATTTAAGAATAATAAATAAATAAACTAAGGAATATGAATAATTTATTATGAAATATATCACTTAAAGAAACGATTTTATCCAATTTTTCTCAGGTATCCAGACATCACAAGACGCAAGGTTTTATGCTCTCAGTAGGAAATTTACTCCGTTTAGTAATAAGGATAAGACTCTTATTATTCAATTTACTGTGAAGCATGAACAAAACATTGACTGTGGCGGCGGATATGTTAAAGTATTTGATTGTTCTCTTGATCAAAAGGATATGCATGGTGATAGTCCTTATCAGATCATGTTTGGTAAGTTTCTTTATCAGTTTTTTTAGAACTGCTATTGATAATGATCAGTAATACCGAGCCTAAGAGTCACTGATCATATCAGTTGTATGATAAGTGCTATAGGAACTCGGAGAGAAATACTCTTTGATATGCCCTGTGTATGGTAATTATACATATTGCAGGCACCAGATAAGATACAGAGAAATTATTAGAAGAGCTTAGATAAGATGATTATCTTATTTATTTTGTATAGAACTTGACATCATTTGAACAACAAAATTATTACATGCAAATATGCACATAAATAATATATATATATATATATATATATATATCTTTCTCTGTTATTAACTTTCTGTTATTTATCTTAATTATATATTAACTTCTACAGGACCGGATATTTGTGGACCTGGAACTAAGAAGGTTCATGTTATCTTCAGTTACAAAGGAAAGAATCTTCTAATCAATAAGGATATTCGTTGCAAAGACGACATTTACACGCATTTGTACACATTAATTGTCAAACCTGATAATACCTATCAGGTAAATATACATTTATATAAAATTATTAAATTTTGAGCCTAGAGTCACATGTTCTCATTGATTACCATAGAGGATAGGTGCTAAAGGATCTCATAAAGCAAAGATTATCTTGTTTGTTAATTGTATAGGAGTGATATCTCGCACTATACATAAACATCAAAGATCAACATATTATTATTTGATTAAACAAATATTTGTTCGATTTCACGATTTTTCAACAAAATTTTGAACTTTGTTGAATTGTTTTTCAGGTACTAATTGATAATGAAGAAGTTGAGTCTGGTGAATTAGAAGCTGATTGGAGTTTCTTGCCTCCCAAAAAGATCAAGGATCCATCTCAGAGCAAACCTGCTGATTGGGACGACAGACCTAGCATTGATGATCCTGATGATAAGAAGCCTGAAGATTGGGATAAGCCTGAACACATTCCTGATCCGGAAGCTGTTAAACCCGAAGATTGGGATGATGAAATGGATGGCGAATGGGAAGCGCCTATGATTGACAATCCCGATTACAAGGTACATTGAAACTGATAGACATACAAATTTATCAGAATTTTTTTCATTTGTTGTTACTCCTAAAATTATATAATTTTTCAGGGCGAATGGAAACCGAAGCAAATCGAGAATCCCAATTACAAAGGACCGTGGGTTCATCCCGAAATCGATAATCCTGAATATACTGCCGATTCTGAACTATATAAGCGTGACGAGATTTGCGCTATCGGATTTGACTTATGGCAAGTTAAATCTGGTACCATTTTCGATAACGTTCTTATTACTGATGATGTGGAGGTTGCACGTAAATTCGGAGAAGATGTCTGGAAACCAACCTTTGTAAGTGCTTTTGTTCATCTATAATTAACGATATGTAATATAACGTTCAATCGATAAATTAACTGGAAAATGTTTTGTTTATTCTATAAATTGTAGGAAGGTGAGAAGAAAATGAAGGAAGAGCAAGACGAGGAGGAGAGAAAACAGAGAGATAAAGAGGCCAAGGAAAGCGAAAACGCTAAGGATGACGAAGACGATGACAATGAAGTGGACGAAGAGGACAACACTGTACCAGATACTGAAGTAAGTGTTAAGTCTATCTGCCCGAATTTATATCTGTTTAATCAGGTTTTGTAAAAATATACGCATGATGTTCATATCCTTTCTGATATTGCTGACGAGAAAAATTGGAATTCCTCGTTTCTGAACGTATATATTTTGATAGATCTTTCTAATGTGGTAAAATCAATGATTAACAGCCTTATTTCTTCCTTGTTTCGCAGGAGCATGATGAACTGTAAATAAGAGTGTCGCATGTGGACACAAATACAGACTGTATTCCAGGAGCTATGTGGCCGCGACACGCACTAAATCCTCCCATAGGCACAAAATTGTAATCTAAAGACACACAATAGCAAAAGAACAGGATAATACTCTCATCGATTACATGAGAGTCTAACATCATATTGAATCTTGTTTTGAGCCCTTTTAAATCAAATGTTTTCTAGTTTTCTTAACATTTCGTTAGTATTTTTGGTCTTAGTATCGCAACGCATAAAATTCTTAGTTGTCAAGGAATTTTCTATTCGAGTGCGTATTATCCTGAAATGTTAACACTGTTAGATCAAGTGGTATATTTCTGCGAAATGTGTGCTGGAATACGGAAGAACAAATAGAAAATAGAAGAAAAAAAAGTGTAGAGAAGAAAGAAACGAAAAAGAGTCGTCTAACCCGTGTTCACCATCGGCGTAGCTCCATAAAAGACTCTAAGTTGTTCCGTTTTTGTTTGTCAAGTGTTTTTATATACATTAAAAGGTAATTGAGATGTAATTTAAATAACACGATACTATATTATATATAATATATACATTATTTCAATTTTCGTACAATGTACGCGCGCATAATTCAAAGAAAAAAAAACTCGCTCCAATTATAAAAGGGAAAAACGTAAGAATGATGGATGTGTGCAATTGTGGCTGAATGATAACAATTGGTATGATTATGTATCAGAGACAGTCCAATAACCGTGAAATAAAATAAATAAGACTTTTCTAGATGTGCTCAGACGTTTATTTTTGTGAGGCCTCAAGCGCTCATCTTCATCAAACGCGTTAACCTAATCCTGTTACTGATCCATTCGTAGTAATGTGTACGAATCGATTGTGCAAAATGCTTCCAATTTTCATTGTATATGTACATGCATGCATATACATGCTATTTCATTGTATCATGTTTGAATATAGTTAATTGTAACTCCATTTTTATATCAGAAAATAAATTGACATCACTTTTCTCCGAAGCAACTATTTCATCAACTTATAAATTATTCCTTTTTTTGGTATAGCGCGATTTAATAAAATTTTATCTCGTAAAATTGAGAACGAGATATAACAGATTTAAAATAATATAATAGATTATCATTATTTATATCACACTTATAGAACGAATAAAAAAAATTTACATAAATAATAAAAAATAAAGTATAGTCGACGTCAAAGTGTGTGTATGTATGTGTGTGTACACGCGCGCAACTGTTTCTTTCTCCAAATGCACGCAATATTTAATGGAAGTTATTCCATGCGAATAGCTAAAATAAATCACTTTTAACGTCGATTATACGTACATACATACATACATACAAATCACGTGGCTTTCATCTATCTAACTTCAGTCTGCTTTGTACTGTTCTTATGTAGAAGCTAGTAATTAACATGAAATGTATCTTCTCGATTCTGTAAGAATTAGACGACTGTAAGCGGTCATGAAAGAGATTCGGAATATAAACACTAACAGAGAGGAGTCGTCGTGGTCGTGCAGACTAAGTGTCGGATTGGTAGACGAAGGATCCCGAGTTCAAATCCAGTCGGTCTCCGTTAATTTTTTCCGAATCTAATAGATATCTTTCAATCCTTTATTCTTAAACAATTTTATGAAAGGAAGAGAACTAAACACACTGTGTCGATAGCCAGTCAAGACCCTGCAACGTACCGCTTGCATTGGTAACTAATGATGAGCCCTGAATGTGCCATATTCTCGCACAACAAAGTTTATGCAAACCGAATATATCGACCAGCTCTTCCACACTCGCACAATCAGGAACATCCTGTAAAAATATATCTTTTTGCTTGTACAATGTAATCTAAATAATAATATACAACTTGATTATATATTCAATGAATATTATAATCTTATTAATACAATCTTTCATAATTCCGTAATTAAAGCGACTTTTGACTTTTTTAAATTATGAAATTATATTTAAAATTAGGTTGTAAATTTTAAACTTGATTTAGTTTCAAAATTAAAAAAAAATATATATATATATTTCACTATAAATATTTAACGATGTAAACAAGAAAGTATTATACTTACTTGTTTATTAGCATAAATTAAAAGTAAAGCATCCTTCAGTTCTCGTTCGTAAAGTATCTTCGATAATTCTTTCCGTGCTTCTTCGAAGCGAGATCTGTCACTGGCATCAACTACAAAGATAATAGCTTGCGTGTTATGATAATAGTGTTTCCATAATGGCCTAAACTTTTGATGACCACTGACATCCCAGAGAGTAAATACGAGATTCATGTATTCTAAACTTTCAACATTGAAGCCGATAGTAGGAATTGGTGGGCTTGGCAACGTAACATTTCGCATAGCAGATAAAATGCTCGTTTTTCCTGCCCCATCTAATCCTAAGATCACTACGCGCATATCAAATCTTTGTTCCAATATGTATTCGTTATCCTATAATAAAATAAATAAAACAAAGTA